CCCCTTTTTTTGGGGAACGCAGGGGGGGAAGAGATACATGATTATAACACCGGGAAAATTCCTAGGGGGACTAGTACCGAATTTGCACACGAAATCATCACTAGAACAAAAGATTTGGGCAGACGATGCAACACCCCCCCAAAAAAAGCGGGGTGTCACTAACTTTTTAAAAGCCCATACAGAAAGTGTCAGGGGCCCGGACTGTTCAACTGCCTCCAGCAAACAAAAGGGGGGATTACCAACAGACCCCTGGCAGTTTTAAAAGCTGGCCTGGACAAGCACCTAAAGTCGGTTTCCTGACCAGCCGGCTGTGGCTCGTACGTTGGTTTGCGTGCAGCCAGCAGCAACAGCCTGGGTTGATCATGCTCTAAATCCACCAGGAGGCCTGGTCACAGACCGGGCGCGGGGGCGTTGACCCGGAACTCTCTCCAGGTAAACTCCAGGTAATAAGATTCCTTGTAAAATTTGCGATAAAGTTTATTATGATCAAACTGGTAAAAATCTCGAACTAAGATTAAAACAACATAAATATAGCATTAAAACTGGAAAAGATTCCAATGCTCTAATTATTCATGTAAGAGATTTTAACCATCCAATTGATTTTCAAAAAGTTGAGAAAGTAGTATCAAGCAAGTCCATGGTCGACAGGAATATAATTGGGAATCTTGTTTCATAAAAAACATTTTTTGACAATAATATAAATATTTCCTTTGGTTTATATAAATTAGATCCATTTATAATTAATAGAATTTGGGAAGATTTAATAATACATTGGACAAATAATAATTTTTTAAATTTCTTATTTCTTGGGTTGAAATATTTTTTGGGTAGGTTGTATGAAGACCTTTTCTAGTTCGGCCGGCGGGCCTGCGTCTCGCGTCAGGTGTTTCGTTGTTGTGGGATCTGATAGTGAGGTGGGGGGCTACCTCTTTTTACCTTCCATTGATGCTTTACTTTCATTGTTCCTTGAAAATGTGAGTAGTCACGAAAGCGCTTGGAACTTCTCTATTCTTTCACAGTGGTTGTTTTGCATATATATTATATATATTTTATATAAAATATATATAATATATATTTATATATATATATATATATATATTATATATATATATATATATATATATATATATATACATATATATAAATTATTGAGGGAAAGAAAATCCCAAGGATTCATCAGGCAAACTTTATTTTCAGTAAAAACTTGTAAGTATTTAAGCATGAAAAGTACCGGAGGAAAAATTTTCCAAGGAAATATAAAAAGTCCAGAGTAAGAAATATGAGGACTAATGCTGGTTGATTCAATATACTCAGTATTTACCCAGAAAATTATCATAGCAACTTAAAAAATATCTTCATGAAATCCAAGTAAAAAAAGGCAACTTTAAACAACAAAAAAGATTTCACAAACTTGTTATTCTTATAAAATTTTCGAATTTAATCATCAAAAATATCGAAACGGGGTAAAACTCTTTTAATTTTTATGTGCTGAGAGGAACAATGAACACGTGGCAGGATTTATGTCTCAGTCTGTAGATAAATGGTTCAGAGAACCGACAAGTTGATCAATTAGACATGTGCAACACTTGGGTATCTTTATTGAGAAAAGTATCGCCACACAGTGGCTTCACAGTCCATACAAAGGAGAATGGTAAAAGAACAGGAGGAGTTTTGAGGTTATCAGTCCCTCAGCCTTGAGGACGATATAATCAGTCCATCAATTTTAAAAAAAAATGTATTCATTTCAAGACTGAGGGAGTGATTACATCAACTCAAGGCTGGGGGACTGATTGCCTCAAACTCCTCCAAATTCTTCACCATTACCTTTGTACGGACTGATGAAGCCACTGTGTGGCGAGACGTTTCCCAATAAAGACACCCAAGTGTTGCACATGTGCCCTAATTTATCAACTTGTCTCAGTTTCCACTATGATTTTAATTTTAATCCCAAAAAATACATATTTGAAGTTGAAGTAAATTTGATTGTGATGAACAGTTGAGATGCCGCCTTAATGACCTGTGTGTGTCCATAGTAATTTTAACACAATTTAAACCTACCTATATCAAGAATTCATTACTGTATTATGTTACTTTCGTGCATTATGGCAGGGGATTACTTTTATCCCTATTTTACTGATTTTAAGGTAATTAAAGTGTTTCTTGATTGGTAATGAATAATTGACAGACAGCCTTTAAAGACTTCGTAAAGTCGATATTTATTTAGTACTTACAACCAGGCATTCAATTAGGATATTATCCGGAGTGTTTTGTCCAAGAATTTATTCTATACTTTAGTTTTTAAGTTCCCATGAGGGTTAATAGGTTGTAACACATAAACTTAGGTTTTATTTTGACTGTGTGTATTAATAACCCAACTTAACAGATCTTTATTTATTTGAAGAATTTGATATTCTTTCGATTTATTTTACTGTTAGTAGTAGTAATTTTTATCACATTTTTTCTTTAACCATTTTCTCCCTCTCCATTTTGGGGTAAACCCGACGAGAAACACATCACTCATCCATTACTGTCTTACCAAATGAGCACGATACTACAGTTCAGACTTCCTTCCCAGCTAAACTCTTCTTCAGAGTGCAGGCGCTGTACTTCCTGTTTCCCTAACTTAGATCCTCTAACAGGTTTTCATGAAACCTTCATAAAAGTTACCTTGTCAGAATACAATAGCATATAAACTAATTTAAAAAGCCGTTCCCGACACACTCTAGTTGGATGTCTAAGCCCTATGTTTACAAAACCTCTTTTAAACAGTCTCTTAAACTTTTCCATGGACGACCCCTACCCCACCTTCGCTTCAGTGCAGATTTATACACACTCCACATTATCCAATTTTGCTCGAACTCTCTAAATGTCCAAAGCACCTCAACCCCTCCTCAGCCATAAGGGGGATTGGTGAACCTGCATCTCCTAATCCCCATCTTCGAATTTTCTGAAAAATGTCACACCTCACATTGCCCATTTTTATATTATTATTTTATATTTTTATTATTTTTATTATTTATTATTATTATTAAATTTTTATTATTTAAATTATTATTATTATTATATATTGCTGTTATTATTGTCAATATTATTATTATAATAAATATTAATGATTATTATCATTATTGTTGGTTTATTATTAATGTATAATACAAAAAAAAAATAATATGAGAAAACAATTATATTAATTATTTTTATTATTTTTATATTGTTAGATTTGTTATTTGAAAAGCGGTAAACCAGAATGAGTTTTTTCTGCGCAACATGGTAAATGGGTTGTCCATGATAGTGGGTAAAATGTGGAGAAATAGTGTTAGTGTGAGAAGAGAAAGTCACAATCTAACATGACTAGAGTTAATGATATTTTGGCACTTCGACTTTCGGGATTGTTAAGTACAAATTGCTAGCCAATAAAGTTTTCTAAAGAAAGTTAGAAAGTAAGAAACCTTTAAAAGACATTGCTAAAAAACAGATGAATAGACACCACTAATGTTTAAGCATCACTGAGTAAGAAGACTTGTTCTGTTCTAGAAGTTTTAGAACTTTCACTGTGTGTAATATATTGCCAGAGTTATGTGGCTTGTTATCAAGAGGTGAAACGTGGAGAAAATCATTTGGAAATATCAAGTTAGCAATGATAATTTAAAATAATCTTTACGTACAAAACCTTCAAGTTTATGGGTGTCAAGGATTATTTAAAAAAATGTTTACCTATTTTTCCCTTTTTCCATTAAACGTCCTCTGTTATTCCTTCCAGTCATTGTTCCTAACTAACATCGTCCCTAAGAAATGCAGTAGTGTTGTGAAATTTTAAAGACAATATTATTACGTTATTCTTCAGCTCTTGGTTCATCTGTTTCCTTGTTTCTGGGTGTTCTTATGCTAATTATTTTGTCCTGGGGAAGAGTTTGACGAAGTTGCCATTAATAAGTCTAAGAACGACTTGGGCGACAAGCTTGAGTTGGTCTCTGGGGACGACGCTCTCCACCCTGAATCTCCTCAAGATGCTGCTCACTAAGATTTTTAATTCCATCATTGCGAACTTTTGACCTGGTGAAATAAGAATGTGATTGGACAAAGATGTAAGGAATGAAGAGGTAAAAAATTTTCATTCATTGTTACACATGCATATCATTAGAACTTACAAATCAAGAAAAAGCAACTGAAGCAAAATTTATTGACATGAATAATAATAGGATTTCAAAAAAAATAATTCACGTGAGTGCATTTATATATATATTATATATATAAAATATATATATATATATATAATATATATATATATATATATATATATATATTATATATATATAATATATATATAATCAATAACAACACGCGACTAGCCAAGGACTCGAACCCACCATGTTTCATGGTAAGCGAAAACACATGACGCTCTAACCCAGAGGACAACGCGTTCCTAAAAGAACCAAGTACCAAGCTAAGCTGGGTTTGTTTACCTTGGTCCGAGACATAGGGTTGGCATGGGTGCCTCAGAGCAAATTTCATTCTACTCCCTGTCTGGTAGCTCAGAGGCACCCACACCACCACATGTCCTAGCATGGTTTGGAACTTCTTGACTGACTACGATGATTTCACATTTTGATGGATTCGTGATGAGTCCCATTTCCTGTCACTGTGTCATTACAATTGTAAGTTCATTTAGAATGGACACCTTTGTACCCGTCAGTGTGCCATCATCCAGGAACCAGATGTTTAGCTAAATGGTCAGTCTGACCATGATTTCCCTAACCAATTGACAGAAGAGAAATGGTGCTTGAGGATCCCTTTGATGGATACCTTCTGACTTCATGCTCTCCAAAGGGGAGCATTAAAATCTAATTTTATGAGTGCATTGTCCTCAGGTAGATTGTTTATATATGCGCTTGTTGCAAGAACTGCTGCTTCGCTTCCCTAAGGGACCTCAAGGAGCCTGTCATCCAATTTTTCGCGCGCTTCAAAAAAAAATCGAAAAATTATGTAAATTGAGTTATTCATATAGAAAAATAGCTTAACTCTTTGGCAACACAATGTTACAAGAATGAATGTTCTACGACGTTTCTACAAGAAATTATAGTCATTTATATCAGGTATGGTGAGGGTGATGTGGGTAGCGAGTCTGCTCTCACCATACATATTTTTTGGAATTTTTTCCTTGTTTTTTATCGCTTTTTCTTGCATTATTCTTTCTAATATAATGATTGACTATTTGGCATCACATAAGAGTAGGCGGAGCTTATCCGTAGACTTCCAGCCAATCGGGAAGCATCTGGGAACACTGGAAACATAAACACATATGAAGTTTAATATGATCCTTTGGAAATAAATGGTATAAAATACCGACACAATGGAAATATAAACACATATGCAGTATAATGAGATCCTTTATTGACTATGTTTCGCCCACACAGTGGGCTTTTTCAAGTCACAAACAGATCTACCTGGGGTGGAAGGTACGGGAGTATTTATAGTCAGGTTCAGAATGTTGAGGTCAGGGGGGAAAGAATGCTGCATCTGATGATGTACTCGGTACATCATCAGATGCAGCATTCTCCACCTACCTCAGCATTCTAAACCTGACTATAAATACTCGCACCCCTTCCACCCCAGGAGATCTGTTTGTGACTTGAAAAAGCCCACTGTGTGGGCGAAACGTAGTCAATAAAGGATCACATTATGCTGTATGTGTTTATATTTCCATGTGATCCTTTATTGACAACGTTCCGCCCACACAGTGGGCTTTTTCAAGTCACAAACAGATCTACCTGGGGTGGAAGGTACGGGAGTATTTATAGTCAGGTCAGAATGTTGAGGTCAGGTGGAGAATGCTGCATCTGATGATCTACCGAGTGGGGATATAGAGTCTAAAATCTTGGGTAGCTTGGCAGGGGTATTGGACAAGTTGTGAGCAGACCTTCTGCAGTGTTCTATGTTGAGATTAAGACACATGTGCAACATCTGGGTATCTTTATTGTAGACGTTTCGCCATCCAGTGGCTTTATCAATACAAATTCTAGGACATAACTTGAAGACAGTAGAACTATGTACAGAAGATGAGGTAATCAGTCCCTCAACCTAGGAGTAGGTGCGAAGAGCACCATAGTCGTGGAGATTCTGAAGCAGAAGAAAGGAGCCTGGCGTTTTAATAGTAACGTCAGGTGTAGCGACGAGGGCATATTCACTGGTAGGTAGGTTTCCCCAGTGGAAGTAGGTCCTTCCAAAGAGAGGGGTTAGTTTAGTAGTAGTTGTCCCTAGTCGTGAAGGTTATGTACATGTCCTCAGAATTAAGATTCCATGATGTTGCAGTGTCTGACAAGTTGTGTACGAATGGTATATAATACCCACAAGATGAGATTAAGACACATGTGCAACATCTGGGTATTTATTGTAGACGTTTCGCCATCTAGTGGCTTTATCAATACAAATTCTAGGACATAAACTTGAAGACAGTAGAACTATGTACAGAAGATGAGGTAATCAGTCCCTCAACCTAAAGGGGTAGGTGCGAAGAGCACCATAGTCGTGGAGAATTCTGAAGCAGAAGAAAGGAGCCCCGGCGCTTATATAGTAACGTCAGGTGTAGTAGACGAGGGCATGTTTACTGGTAGGGGGGATTCCCCAGTGGAAGTAGGTCCTTCCCAAACGATGGGTTAGTTGTAGTTAGTTTTTCGTAGTCGTGAAGGTTATGTACATGTCCTCAGAATTAAGATTCCATGATGTTGCTTCAGAATCTCCACGACTATGGTGCTCTTCGCACCTACTCCCAGGTTGGGGACTGATTTCCTCATCTTCTGTACATAGTTCTACTGTCTTCAAGTTATGTCCTAGAATTTGTATTGATAAACCACTGGATGGCGAAACGTCTACAATAAAGATACCCAGATGTTTTCACATTTTGTCTTAATCTCATCTTGTCGGTATTTAAAACCATTCGTACACAACTTGTCAGACACTGCAACATCATGGAATCTTAATTCTGAGGACATGTACATAACCTTCAAGACTACGACAACTACTACTACAACTAACCTATCTCTTTTTGGGGAAAGGGCCTACTTCCACTGGGGAATCCCGCCCACCAGTGAATATGCCCTCGTCTGCTACACCTGAGTTACTATATAAGCGCCAGGCTCCTTTCTTCTGCTTCAGAATCTCCACGACTATGGTGCTCTTCGCACCTACTCCTAGGTTGAGGGACTGATTACCTCATCTTCTGTACATAGTTCTTCTGTCTTCAAGTTATGTCCTAGAATTTGTATTGATAAAGCCACTGGATGGCGAAACGTCTACAATAAAGATACCCAGATGTTGCACATGTGTCTTAATCTCATCTTGTCAGTATTATATACCATTCGTACACAGTGTTCTATGTTCTTATGTGGGATAGCGATGAAGAAGTTTCTTGGCAAGTGGTTCAGTTATGTTATAGAAGCCATTGTTTTGGTTGAAATTGTTGGTTATAGAGATAAGCGATGACTTATCGCCACAGAAGACTACACTCAATACCGAAGAATCCTGGAATCATCGCTTATCTCTATACCCAACAATTTCAACCAGAACAATGGTTTCTATAACATAGCTGAACCACTTGCCAAGAAACTTCTTCATCGCTATCCCACATAAGAACATAGAACACTGCAGAAGGTCTGCTCACAACTTGTCCAATACCCCTGCCAAGCTACCCAAGATTTTAGACTCTGTATCCCCACTCGGTAGATCATCAGATGCAGCATTCTCCACCTGACCTCAACATTCTGACCTGACTATAAATACTCCTGTACCTTCCACCCCAGGTAGATCTGTTTGTGACTTGAAAAAGCCCACTATGTGGGCGAAACGTTGTCAATAAAGGATCACATTAAACTGCATATGTGTTTATGTTTCCATTGTGTCGGTATTTTATACCATTTATTTTCATCTGGGAACAATGGCAGTATTCCCGCTACAGAGAGCCAGGAGAAATCACTTCATTATTACGCTTATATCAACTTTACGGTTTATTTATCTATCAGAATTGATCTAATGTGATATAATAAATACTATAAATAACATACAAACACCGTTATATACTCTAGACTGAATAAAATAGGCCATAATATGGCGAGTGTCCACCAGCAATATTTCGATATAAATGAGTTACTGCTCGTCTCCATGTCGTATTCTTTGGTCTTGTGATAGAAAACGGTGTTTTGAAGAGGATAACTACACTAGAACATCAGTTTACTGGGAAATTCACCGAAAGAAACGCGATTTTTTGCGATTTTTTTTTTTCGAGACGGTGGGCCGGCCGGCGCTCCAGGCCAATATCTCGGAAGTAACTTATTCACTTATTTCGCTAAGGTAACCCTTTATTACTTAAGTGGAATAATATTCACAGAAATGGTAAAATAATGATTTTCTAATTAATTTCTAGGGAATTTTGGAAATATTCCAAATACTTTGGGAGTTATGTGGGAGTAAAGGGCAGATTTTTTGCAACATTCCAAGAACTAACAAACTTTATTTTTTTTTGTGTGAAATAGAGATAAGTTATTTAGAGAAAAGGTCACAGGAAAATTCGTATTAGAAATTGTTCTCTCGGCAGCAAGGTCCAAAAAACCTTAAACGTCGTCCCATATGGGCACCTTCCTGCCAAAGGGCATTTTCAGTAATCAGTCCTTTTCAGTCTTTTCTCAGTTGTTGTTTGAGGTATCTTATTGATAAATATTTCCGGGAACTAGAGAAAACACTTCGTCTTGTGCCCCAAAAACTAAAGGGATTTCTGACGGTAAACAAAAAAGCAACAATTAATTGGATGACAGGCTCCTCAAAGCCACGCTTTGTTTGGTTGAAGCATCATAGTCACCTCTGCGCAAATACTTCGGACAGAAACTTTGGAAACGAGGCACCGAAAAGTGTTGCCTATGGCAGTTGGCCTAATTCCTCTACCCTTTCTTTTAAAGGGCACAAATTATTATTATAATCAAAGAAAGCACTAAACCGACAAGGGTCATACAGCGCTGCGAGGTAGAAAATAGTGCTGGGATTATAAACAGCTAGGGGGGAAGGGAATCAAGGTGAGGGGAGAAAGCGGTGGAAGGGACGCTAAGGGCTGTGTCAAAGTTCGTATAGTAAAGCATTTGCTAACAAAAAGTCAAAAGTGATCGTAAGTAAAAAGGTTAGGGCCGTCTCCCAAAAAAGAGAAGGTTAGAGTGGTGGGGCGGCGGCGGTGTTGGGGGTAATCCTGTGAGCTCGCTGGTAAAACGGGGCAATCTACAAGAAAATGATGAACCGAAAGAGGGACCCGACAAACTTCAGAGAGAGGAAAGGGTGTCGTTCATGAGATACCCGAGTGCAAGGCGAGTATAGCCAAAGCGTTGACGGGAGAGCACTGTTCCCCGACAACGGCAACGGGTAAGAAGATGGCCACAACCCTAAAAGCATTTATAGAGTGCAATTTGCTATGGTGCATGCCCGCCACCATTGTTCCCAAAGGCTGCGAAGATCATGCACCGCTGACCATGCAGCAGCCATCAGCTTGTTTTATTTCCCAGCACATCAACGTGTCCAGGGACACAACAGAAAATAATATCTTTGTTTTCGCTAGCCACACAGCGCAACCATAACTGAATACGTAGAACTAATGGATAAAGGAATCAAATTGTTACTGGCATTGAAGCACTGAGGGGAAACTGAAATGATCACAAACGTCGAAGGAAACATATATGTAATATGGAGAAGTGTTATGAGGATGGTATGCAACTCGGCAGTAAAAATACTAGCCGAGTCTAACAAATGACCCCAGACAACACGTCAGGGAACAACCCCAGCAAACCCAACACCATCAGAAGATTTAGAACCCTCTGTATAAACAGCAACAGCATGACCAGTGACCAGAAGTAACAAGAAAAGAGCGTGAGAAGCAGCAGTAGGCAGAAGAACTTTTTTGCACGGCAATGGGAGAGAACAGACATGAACCTTCGGAACCTTCAAAGGGAGAAGTATAAGGTAGACGCTAAATGAACAAGAAGGGAGGTAACTGGAGAGAGACCGGAGTGAGAGAAAACGAAGAGAAAACGTGTCAGAAATAAGCAGAAACGTTGAACAAATAACGTGCTTCTGAGACCAACCTATTATACGTAGAAGGATCACGAAGGTCATGAGAGTGGACAAAGTAATGAAAAGGCAATGAACATTACGACGTTAGGCTAAGGAAGGAACATTCACCTCCGCAAAAAAGGCTTTTAACAGGGGATGAAGGACAAGCACCAAGGCATAAGCGTAGACCCTGATGATGAAGGGATCTAACATAGATAGAGTTGTAGAAGAAGCCCTAGAACAGACATAGTTGCCATAATCCAACTTGGACAAGACTAGGGGGAATGCAAAGGAGGAGAGTCCGGCGATCTGCTCCCCCTGGACGATGCGCAAGAATTTTAAAGAGATTCAGCCGACCATAGCAAGCCAACTTCAAAGAGGAAATGTGAGGTTTCCATGTCAACCGGCGATCGTGTACAAGGCCTAGAAACTTGACCGTATCACATTCTGGATACTTGAGCCGTGTAGATACAATGAAATATCTGGGGCAAGAGGATGTCTAGTGAAGGTAAATGAAATGGGTTTTTGTACTAACAAATTTAAAACCATGGGGAAAAGGCCCAAAGGGAAACACCTGAAGGGAGGCCACTACCAGGCGACAGTTAGCACTTGTGTAAGCTATATCGAAGTCATCCACATAAAATGATGGGCCAAATAGGCGACGGAAGACGGAAGGTAGGTTTATCTATAGCCAAGAGAAAAAGGATAGCACTTAGGATACAACCTTGTGAGACCCCCTGGGCCTGAACAAAGTCTGAGGAAAGGAGGTGCCAACGCAGACACGAAAATGTTTTTTTAGATAAGAAGCAGCTAGGAAGGTTGGTAGATTACCGCTGAGGTCTAAGAAGTGGCCTGGGCAAAGATGTTAACCTCCAAGTGGTGTCATATGCCTACTCTAGGTCAAAAAAGACTGCTAGGATGGAGTGTTCATTAGCAGAGGAATATCTAAGTGGAGCAACGGGTCCAAAGTAGAGTGGCCCTTGCGAAAGCCATAATTATGAGGAGAAAGAGTATTGTAAGTCTCTAAATACCATGACAGAGGTCTATTCACTAATCGCTCCATCACCTTGCAGATTACACTGGTCAGAGCAATGGGAGGTATCAAGCCCCGAAGTGCCTGGTTTATGAAACAGGAGTACAATGGGAGATTTCCATTGTTGAGGGAGAACCTCTCACGTCCAAATAAGATTGAAAAGGCATGATCTGTAACATGAAAGAGAGAAGCATTATTGGTGTCGGCAAGTCTAGCACATCTTTTGTGCTCTGTCAGAAAAAAAGCGGCCAGTTTCTGCAAAGTATTGAAAATAGGAGTAGCAGTAAACAAAGTGGACTCCCGAGGCATGAACAGTAGTAGGAGAGGTACTAACTAGATTACTGGGAAGTATGTGAAGTTTAATGTCTAAAGAACTGGGAGAGATATTGAGAATAGAAAGACTGAAAATATAAGGAAGGCAGAGAACAATAGATTTCACAGGAACAAAGAGTCTGGGAGAGTTAGCTCTCCTCTAGTTCTCCTTTTTCTTTTCTTTAGACTTACTCCACTTCTACTACTACTACTTCCATTACTACTACTACTACCTATTACAACTATTTCTAATACTACTTCCCCTTCCAGCATTACATTTACCACTACATCTCCACATTGTTCATTCTTCATCTCTTTGTCCCATCCCTGTCCTCCTCTCCTATATGGTCCAAATTGGGCCAAATCGTTGTCATCAGCTATTTTCATGTAGGTGCTGGTTATTTGTGTACCTTTAAATTATACATTTGTTCAGTTCCAACCGATGTTAACTAAATGCAAAATAATATTTTATATTCATCTATATAGAGTTGAATTTGAAGACTCGTAGTAGCTAAGGTAATATACCAGTCCCTAGCATGTGACTCCTAACACACCGCTAACATCCTAGAACATAATGAGTATAAGGTGAACAACAGAATCAGGCTTTAAGAGATGGCCCATGTGCCTCGTTCTGCCTTGAATTCGATCTCATAACATTTTGGTTTGGAGGTAAAGTTCAACCTTATGAACCATAGGTCTTACCAATGCAGTTCCTGGGTCCAGCGCTGAAGGGAACATAAGCGTAAGGATGACGCTTGTTGATATTCTCTGGCAGGAAGCGGTCAGGATCAAACACCTCTGGATCAGGGAACTGTGTTGGGTCACGATGAAGTTTGTATATGACCACACCCACTGTTGTGCCAGCCGGAATATGATACTTATCTACAATAATAATAATAATAATAATAATAAATAATAATAATATAATAATAATAATAATAATAATAATAATAATAATAATAATAATAATAAAAATACGTAATAATAATGATAGTAAATTGACAAATAACCCACATAAAGGACTGAATCTTTTGGCGAAGTTATGGTCTCCACGTACGTGATATATATCTGCAGTACTACTACTAATAATAAAAATATTAAATATTAATAATAATAATAATTATAATAATAATAATAATAATTATTATTATTATTATTATTATTATTATTATTATTATTATTATTATTACTGTTGTTGTTATTATTTTTTATTGTTACTTGTTTGTCGGTCGTTATGATATTGTAAACAGAAGAGTAATAACAATTCTCAATAACGAATTTAAGTAGTTTGTTAAACGATGGTGACTGGACGACTAAATTAATTTCTAGTACTTTCAGTGAATCTATGTAAGAGCATATTTGTGAAAACTGATACACACACACACACACACACACACAAACACACACACACACATATAGACACGCGCGCGCGTGTGGGTCCGTGGGGTGTAGACGTGGGTGCACAAGGCTCCGAGAACCCTAGTGTTTTTTTAAGGCGTGCAGTAAATGCTAGCCGTAATCAGTGGTAGTGACATCATCAGTGAACAACAATACGAGTGATAACTAAAGTTATTAGTTAAAAATAGTAGAGAGGAAGCTGAAATTATCAATATTTCAAAGCGCCAAGCCGTTGTGAGTCTATAGGCGCTGTTGCCACACAGATTCAAACATACAAAGATCAAAGTGAGTGTGGAAGCGGCTGTTCAAGAATTATCAGCGTTTGGCTAACAAGTGAAATGTGGGGCACCATACAGTGAGAGTGAAAAAGTTAATAAGCAAAAGGGAAAAGGAAAAATAAAATATGTAACAAGGGAAGGTGGCAGCAGTAGGCCTGCTTAAAACACTGACGTCACGACAAGTTGTGTGCCATTATACATATAAAGTGAAGTGCATATAATGTGAAGTGTATACTATCATAAGTGAAAAGTGAAATCGTGTGAGGAACAAGGGATGTATGAGCACATGTGGTTATAATCAACACGGGTGAAGGATCTCCAAAATAGGGATTTAAGGACTACGTACGACGACTTCGTCATCAGCATCTGGCAACTGTCACGACCGTTGCCAGCACATGTATCACTCACATATTTTGTGGTTTGCATGTTGCAGGCTCTGCATCGCTGTTAGATACTGGTCACTCACTCCTGCAAGCTATTACAGTAGTTATTAGTAGTAAGAATACTTGGGAAGCTAGGAACTCCTCTCTCAACGTGAACAAGGAATAGGATAATAACCAGTAATAATTGATACTTAAATCCAGAGAGGGCAATAAGTGGAGAGAGTAGCATTTCTAGGAAAGACAGTTGGAACAGAGAGGTATAACGGATCTTTAAACCACACCATCTACCCCCCCCCTAACCATCCCTCTCTCATATACACACACAAGGGCAGACACTCATAGAAGCTTTAGACCCTGGTAGCAATTTCCACTTTTTACAACCCAGAATTACTGGTATGTATTAACAGTATCTACCCCTCATACCTCCCCAATACACACGAATACACACGTATACACACATACACACACAGCTTTTAAGGGCAACATTGTAAGTAGGTGGGGTAAGCCCAAGGAGAGTGGGGGTCAGGTCACAAGAAGTTGCGGGCAGTCAAGGACCACTGACACACACACACACACACAACACACACACACACACACACACACACACACACACACACACACACATATAACACACACACACACACACACACACAAGCAACACACAACACACACACACACAACATACACACACACACACACACACACACACACACACAAACACACACACACATTGCCAGACTCACACATACACTCCCCCCCTCCCCCACAGACATCTCACTCCTTCACCTGATCCCTCCCCTCCCTCTTTCACCCTCCCCCTCCCCACCTCTCCCTCCTTCACCTGATCCCTCCCCTCCCTCTTTCACCCTCCCCCTCCCCACCTCTCCCTCCTTCCCCCTCTCCCTCTCCCACTCACCCACTTGCTTCTCCCTCCTTCCTACATAGCCACAGTTCCTCCACTGCCTCCCCCCACACTCTGACATACACAATACTAACCTAACATACAGAATTACATAGGTTTCCCACTCTGAGGCAATCAGGATAAAACAAAAATGGGTTGCCAGAGAGCAACAAGAAAAACCAAGGGACAGGAGGAGGAAACTGCAAAGGAAGATTGGGCAGCAGAGCTCACAAAAAGGGAACATGAATGGGAAAAGAAACTAGAAGAACTTAGCATGAGAATGGAAGAGAGGTTAGACATGGAAAGCAGGAAGTGGGAGGTGCAAGTCAAAGCAGCAGAGGCCAGGATACAGAGTTTAGAACAGGAACTGAAAAATCTGAAACAGCCTAAAAAACTAAATAACATTTTGGGATTGACAACAGAGACTGCTACCTCAGCCACAAATAAGGGGACTGTAGGGAAAGAAGAAGCAAAACTGCATGCAGAAGCTCAATCAGTGGAGACTGTAGTAAATGAAAGAGCTAAGCTATATGTGGAGGCCTTAACAGACCACAGCAGAGCCCAGGGAAAGCCGAGAAGGGAAAATGACAGGCCACTGAGCCCAAGTACATTAGCTAGTGAAACTGAAGAAAGGAAAGCTGCAATGGAGGAAATCAAATCGAATGATGGGATACACAGGGATATGCAGTGGGAGAATGAAAAGGTGAGGTCAGTCTTTGTGTATGGGCTCCAGGAAGTTGAAGGGGAAACATATGAAGCAAGAAAACAAGGGGGAAAAAAAGCAATTGAAAGCATCATGAAAGCAATAGGAGAAGACGACATGACCCAGCTGGAAATTTTTCGGAGAATAGGGGGGTTTGTAAAAAAAAGAACCCGGCCAGTGAAAGTGACCTTCAAGGCAGAATCGACTCGGAACAGGATCCTGCAGGAGAAAGCATGATTAAGGGACATGCCGGCATACAGGAAGGTGTATCTCGACTGTGACAGAACACAAGCAGAAAGGCAGAAACAGAGAGAGATGGTACAAAGGCGAAAGGAGGAAAGAGAAGGGATGGAGAAGACAGACAGGAGACCCCAGACACAGGAAGATCAAATACAGCCTCCCTCACAACTTCCTATAGAAGCCTCCCAACCAGGTCAACCCCAGTGCAACCAAACACTCTAAACCAAAACACCCATGCCACATCCAATGCCCCCACCCACTGCATTACAAACTCCACCCCCACAGCAACCACCCATAGTTCCTTATCAGGTCTCCCACTTCCCCAACCCCAATACACCTCCCAGACCACAATCTTAGAAAAGAAGTTGAAGGTGTGGTATACAAATGAAGATGGAATAACAAATAAGTATGAGGAGTGGCACGAAAGAATCAAGGAGACATCCCCAGACATAATAGCACTCACAGAAACAAAACTCACCAGAATAATAACAGATTCAATCTTTCCACCCGGATATCAAATCTTCAGGAAAGACAGAGGGAGGAGAGGGGGAGGAGGAGTTGCACTGCTCATTAAAAGCCAGTGGGGGTTTGAGAAAATGGAAGGAATGGATGGCACGGGCGAAAGGGACTACTTAGTAGGAACAATCCAGTCTGAGGCACATAAGGTGATAATTACAGAAATGTACAACCCACCACAGAACTGCAGGAGGCCAAGAGAAGAATACGATGAGAGCAACAGAGCAATGGTTGACACACTAGCCGAGGTGGCCAGGAGAGCACACATGGGGGGAGCAAAGTTACTAGTTATGGGTGATTTCAATCACAAGGAGATTGACTGGGAAAACCTGGAGCCCCATGGGGGTCCCGAAACTTGGAGAGCCAAGATGATGGATGTGGTACTGGAAAACCTAATGCATCAACATGTTAGAGACACTACCAGAGAGAGAGGAGAGGATGAACCAGCAAGACTGGACCTTGTATTCACCTTGAGTAGTTCTGACATCGAGGATATCATGTATGAAAGGCCCCTGGGAGCTAGTGATCATGTGGTTCTGTGCTTCGACTACATAGTTGAGCTCCAAGTGGAGAGAGCAGCAGGAATAGGGTGGGAAAAACCAAACTACAAAAGGGGGAACTACTCAGGCTTGAGGAACTTCTTTTAAGACATTCAGTGGGAGAGGGAACTGACAGGAAAACCAGTACTAGAAGTGATGGATTATGTGGTAACAAAATGCAAGGAGGCAGAGGAGAGGTTTGTTCCTAAGGGAAACAGAAATAATGGGAAGAACAGAACGAGTCCTTGGTTCACCCAAAGGTGTAGGGAGGCAAAAACTAGGTGTACTAGAGAATGAAAAGGTACAAAAGACAGAGAACTCAGGAAAATAAAGAGATTAGCCAAAGAGTCAGAAACGAATATGCACAGATAAGAAGGGAGGCTCAGTGGCAATACGAAAATGACATAGCATCGAAAGTCAAGACTGACCCTAAGCTGTTGTACAGCCACATCAGGAGGAAAACAACAGTCAAGGACCAGGTAATCAGACTGAGGAAGGGTGATGGGGAACTCACAAGAAACGACCGGGAGGTATGTCAGGAGCTCAACACAAGATTTAAAGAAGTATTTACAGTGGAAACCAGTAAGACTCCAGGAAATCAGAGCAGGGGGGTGCACCAGCAAGTGCTGGATGAGGTACATATAACCAAGGAGGAGGTGAAGAAGCTGCTATGCGAACTAGACACCTCAAAGGCGGTGGGACCAGACAACATATCTCCGTGGGTCCTTAAAGAGGGAGCAGAGATATTGTGTGTACCGTTAACAAAGATCTTCAACACATCATTTGAAGCTGGGCAACTCCCTGAGGTATGGAAGATGGCAAATGTAGTCCCAATTTTTAAAAAGGGAGACAGACATGAGGCACTAAACTACAGACCTGTATCACTAACGTGTATAGTATGCAAGGTCATGGAGAAGATCATCA